TCAATATGAAGAATGTGGGAAATCCTTGTACAAGTTCACACTCTATTCAGCATTCTGGAGCTTATGTGGGATTCAAACTTTATGAATGTGATGAATGTGGGAAAACTTTCTGTCAGAAGTCAAACCTTAATGAACATGTGAGAATTCACACAAAGGAGAAAACTTATGATAACAATGACTGTGGGAAATCTTATAGGTCACCCCTTATAGGACATCAGAGAACAGAAACAAAGATGAAACTCTGTGAAGGCAGTGAATGTGGAAAAACATTCTTCGAGATGGCATGTCTCAAAGAACATTGGAGAATTCCCACTGAGGAGAAACCTTATGAATGTATTGAATGTGGGAAAACTTTCTTCACGTCATCGCATCTCAGAGCACATCAGAGAATTCACACAGGTGACAAACCCTATGAATGTATTGAATGTGAGAAAACTTTCTCTCACAAGACACACCTCAATGCACATCAGAGAATCCACACAGGAGAGAAAACCTATGAATGTATTGAATGTGGAAAATCTTTTACCTATAATTCAGCCCTAAAAGCACATCAGAGAATTCACACAGGTGAGAAACCCTATGAATGTACTGACTGTGAGAAAACTTTTGCCCATAATTCAGTCCTCAGAACACATCAGAGAATTCACACAGGGGAGAAACCTTATGAATGTAAAGAATGTGGAAGGTCTTTTGCCCGTGTTTCTGTTCTCAAAGCACATCAAAGAATTGATACAGGGGAGAAACCCTATGACTGTAATGAATGTAGGCGATCTTTTACCTACAATTCAGCTCTACGATCACATCAGAGAATTCAAACAGGTAGGAATCTCTATGAATGTAGTGACTGTGAGAAAACTTTTACCCATAATTCAGCCCTCAGAGTACATCAGAGGATTCACACAGGGGAGAAACCTTATGAGTGTAATGAATGTGAGAAAACTTTTGCCCATAATTCAGCGCTTAGAGCACATCAGAAAATTCACACAGGAGAGAAACTCTATGAATGTAATGAATGTGAGACAACTTTTTCTCAAAAGACATACCTCAGTAAACATCATAGAATTCACACAGGTGAAAAACCCTATGAATGTGGTGAATGTGGGAAAACTTTCTCTTGGAAATCATACCTCAGTGGACATGAAAGAATTCACACGGGGGAAAAACCCTATGAATGTAACATATGCGGGAAAACTTTTGTCGATAAGGCTGCCATGATAGTGCATCAAAGAATTCACACAGGGAAGAAACCCTATGAATGTCATGAATGTGGGAAACCATTTGCCCTTAACTCAACCCTTAGAGTGCATCAGAGAATTCACACAGGTGTGAAATCCTATGAATGTAATGAATGTGGGAAAACTTTCTCCCAGAAGTCACACCTTAGTGCACACCAGAGGACTCACACAGGGGAGAAACCCTATGAATGTAATGAATGTGGGAAAACGTTCTCTGAGAAGTCATATGTTAGTGCACATCAGAGAGTTCACACAGGGGAGAAACCCTATGAATGTAATATATGTGGGAAACCATTTGCCCTTAATTCAAACCTTAGAGTGCATCAGAGAATTCACACAGGTGTGAAATCCTATGGATGTAATGAATGTGGGAAAACTTTCTCCCAGAAGTCACACCTTAGTGTACACCAGAGGACTCACACAGGGGAGAAACCCTATGAGTGTAATGAATGTGGGAAAGCTTTTGCCCACAATTTAACTCTCCAAGTACACCAGAGAATTCACACAGGGGAGAAATCCTATGAATGTAACATATGCGGGAAAACTTTTGTCCATAAGGCAGCCCTCATAGTACATCAAAGAATTCACACAGGGGAGAAACCCTATGAATGTAATGAATGTGGGAAGACGTTCTCCCAAAGAACACACCTCTGTGCACATCAGAGAATTCATACCGGGGAAAAACCCTATGAGTGTAATGAATGTGGGAAAACTTTTGCTGGTAATTCAGCCCTCAGGGCCCATCACCGAATCCACACAGGGGTGAAACCCTACGAATGTGGTGATTGTGGGAAAACTTTCTCTGAGACATCGCATCTTAAAACACATCTTAGGACCCACACAGGGGAGAAACCCTATGAATGTAATGAATGTGGGAAAACGTTCTCTGAGAAGTCTTATGTTAGTGCACATCAGAGAGTACACACAGGGGAGAAACCCTATGAATGTAATATATGTGGGAAACCATTTGCCCATAACTCAACCCTTAGAGTGCATCAGAGAATTCACACAGGTGTGAAATCCTATGGATGTAATGAATGTGGGAAAACTTTCTCCCAGAAGTCACACCTTAGTGCACACCAGAGGACTCACACAGGGGAGAAACCCTATGAGTGTAATGAATGTGGGAAAGCTTTTGCCCACAATTCAACTCTCAGAGCACACCAGAGAATTCACACAGGGGAGAAACCCTATGAATGTGGTGAATGTGGGAAAACTTTTGTTCGTAAGGCAGCTCTTAGAGTACATCACACCAGAATGCATACCAGAGAGAAAACCCTAACACATAATGAATTTGAGAAGTCCTGAATTAACTCATACCTCATTTTATACCACACAGCACAGAAACTCTTGTCATGTAGACTGGAAAATTGTTTTCCTTAACATTTTCCTTTTCCACTAGGCTCATAGCTTGTTGAAAATCCCAATCTCATTCATCCAGGTGGGCTAACCAAAGAATATGAAGCTAATGATATATATTACATTTAGTCCTGGCCCTTAAGCATCTTATAGTCTTCCTGGTCCATGGTAAGATGGGATTGAGATGATTTCCACAGCAAGTTGGCTTTTGTGTGTTGAATGTGGTGGAGCACAAGGTCAAAAGAAGCTAGAGTCTGAGTAACTTTGGATCTTCATCGTTTGTTTTTCAAGCAAGAATTAGGTTTGTTTTCCATTGAGCTCTCACAGATTTGACTTACTAGTTAAATGCATTGTTTTGCTAACTCTGTTAGACTGGGATAAATCCTACCAATATAATACATGTCAGAAGAACTATAAGAATTCACTTTTATTGTATATCAGACTTCACATGAAGAAGAAAACTATCAACATTCTGAATGATCAGAAGCCTTCATTAAAGTCAGAGACATTTCGGGGAAAAACACAGAAGCCTTCACAACAAAATTAATTGCATTAAACATCAGATAGGATAAAATTTTATATTTTGAATAAACGATTTTTAACAAATATTGAATGTTTGTTTTTAGAAATTTCTTTGCTGAGGAAGTATGTCAGTTTCAGAATTGAAGAAAATAAAATCTTCACCTACAAAAACTTCTGTTTGTATGTAATGTCAAAAATTTTATAGAAAAAATATAAGAAAATATAGACAAACTCACTGTAGAATGTGAAATTTTTTTTAATAGAGAAATAGCCGCACGATGTAGTCTTTTATTACTATGGTCACAGAGACTTAAAAAAAAAAAAAACAGAAATAGCTTAAATTCTCTGGATAACACCAATAAATATCTATGAAAAGTCACTGAGTGATGTGAAAAGTCTACATGAGTCTGTAAACATGACTTTTTACTGGTGAACTTGAGTGGGAGCCAAACCTGCTCTTAGCAGGTCTACTTTCTTTTCTAGGCATCTGTGCCCTCTGTTAGTTTCCTTCAACTTGTTGTTAGATTTTGGCCCGCCTGTTATATCTAAATATGTCTTGCCCTGTTTTTGTAGGACCTTTGATATCCCTTAGATTTCCTAAGCATTCTTGTGTGTATATGTGTGTGTGTGCACATGTGCACTGGAGGTGGTTGTGGTATTGATTCTTGCATACTTTTGGGGGGAAGGGTATAGAGGACATTAAGTTTATCCTGCTCTAGTGATTGATTTTGCACTGAATGTTTATAAAACAAGTCATCTCCTCAAGCCCTTGAATGCGTCCTGCCTCAGCATCTTGCCTAGGATCTTGTTGTCCAGTATCATGATGCCTGCTCGTACTGTGCTTTCCAAGTTAGTGGTATTCCTGCCAAGCTAAGACAGCAGGTTTTGGAGTTGGAATGAAAAGGACTGTTTCATGACAAGAGCACAGCACTGGTACTGGAAAGCAGACTCACTTTTGGTAAAACAAAAATTAGTACAGTCTTAGTCAAGAAAACACTTGTTGAAGCTGCCATCATTTTAACCTACATGCTTTAGTCAGTACAGAGAAGAGAGTAAACAGTCACATTTAAAACCTGAATCACTAAGAATTTCAACCCTGAAATTGATCTGATAGGTTCAGCATGAGGACAATACATCAGTTGAATCCCTGAGAAAAATTTCTCAAGTCCCTTATATTGTATGAAGGGATAGTGATAGGAAAAATTGTATCATTAGCATTAATTGGAAATTAGGTATTTCTTTGACACTAAGTTGTTATCAGTTAGTTTAGTGGCATCACTGCCAAAGACAAAAGCCAGAAGAGCCCATCATTGGATGAGGGTTGTATCATACCACCATGGCTGACACATCAGAGAGTGGATCATTACTCTTAGCCAAAAGGTGCCAGCAGCTATGGAATCTGTTTTCTCCTTCGTCGCTGACACCTTGATGCAACTTGATCTTATTGCTTAGTGCTGAAAGGGAAGTGAGAGCTGAAAAGCAACTCTTTTACATGCTTAATTTTCAGAAAAGTATCAATAAAAAGGAAGTTAACTTGGAATACTCTTAAAATTTTTATTTTGGAATAGATTTACAGAAAAATTACAATAATAGTTTCTCTGTACTCCTCCCCTAGTGTCCCCATTAACATTACTGTGGAACCTTCTTCATAACTAACATTCATACATTATTAACTAACCATGTTTTTTCAAATTGCATCAATTTTTCCCTAATCATCTTTTATAGTCCTCTTCTTCCCTTTGGGGCTTAGAAAATGATACCCAAAGTGACCTTCTCCGCCCTTCTGTTTCTCATCCTCACTTTC